GCTATTTCGACGTCATGCAGGGTAAACGTCAAGTGGGGCACCACTGTATATATTTATATCATCAGTCACTACTATTCCTCTGTGGTATATGTATGAAATCCAACCAATATTGAAAACTTATGTGAGTAGTTAATCCTGCTTCTTAATTAGTGATTTATTCATCTTACCCGTTTTCTACATAAATGGGTAATTGTTTTAGCAAACTGAGAAACTTTCAGCAAATGCATTAGCAGCTAAAATCATTTGGGGAATGTTATGGGAACAAACTTTGGTTGCCTTATATTGGAAATTACTTTTGAAGCAGAAAAATGTATGTATAGCCAGAAAAGAAAAATTAATTGAAATTGTAGGATAGCATGTGCTCTTCTTCAGGCTGTAATACCAAAGGATGTAATAGTTACTTGGACTTTCATTCACTAATTGCTGGCTGAAATCCAGTGAAAGTCACACTAGAGTAGGCCCATTGAATGGAAATTTGAGGAGTTAATTGTGTTGTAAGTTCCGTTGACTCAATGGACCTACTCTAGTTGTGACTTACTGTTGGATTTCAGCCACTTTAGCAACTGCTAAAGAACCCATCTCACATTTTTCCTTAATAATTGTTACATTTAATAATTCCTGTCAGGAAATGTAAAAAAATTAATAAAAGAAAGTATTTGACACTGGATCTTCAGTGACTTCATGAAAAAACCATTTATATTTCCATGGTGACAGAAGACCTTCTGAAATATCTAATTTGATTCTTTTATGGCTGACATAGAGTTTTAACCATCATCCTACTACAGTATCTCGCACTCTCAAATATTTGCAGATTTAAGGACTAATTTTCTCTGAAACAGGGACGTGGTGGTGCTGTGGGTTAAACCACAGAAGCTTCTGTGCTGCAAGGTCAGAAGACCAGCAGTCATAAGATCAGTGGGAAGGTAACGGCGTTCCGTGTCTAGTTGCCCTGGCCACGTGACCACGGAAACTGTCTATGGACAAATGCTGTCTCTACGACTTGGAGACAGGGATGAGCACCGCCCCCTAGAATCAGACGTGACTGGACTAAATGTCAAGGGGAACCTTTACCCTGAAACATGGGAATTCAATTTTGTCAAATATTTTTTCTGGCATTTATACATATTCACATTTTTGTAATATCTATAAAAGTTTGTAACTAGAAGATACAGCTGTATCATTCAAAATAATATTTCAAATGTAGAAACTGTTCAGGGAAATGTTAAATTTAAAAAAAACAGCTCAAGAGTTTTGCACTTTGAGAGTAGAAGTAAAGATACATCGACTCTGGGACACTTTAAACACGCAAACCCACCCAAAGAGCATTAAAAGGCAATTGGATGGCTTTCAAAACACCAACCCTGTTTTTATAGTAGCTTCTCCAAGAAGCTGACAGATCATTTTGGCTTCTTTTGCAACATCCAAAATTAGAATTTGTACTAACAATGAGTGTTAAGTCTTATTTTCCCCAGGGACATTTGAAAAGTTTGACATGGTTTTACTTTTTTTCAAGTAATGGAGAATCACAGTTTTCAGCCAGCTTTTTTAATACTTTTTATTTTTAGATGTAGAACAGCACATATTTTTGAAACTTGAATTAACAGCAGGACCTTTCCAGTATGCTTTTGATTTATGAAGTAGGAGCTTAGGTTTCTAGGCTTTTCTCTCTTCCCTAGACTCCGAAATACTGAATACAGAGAACATTGTACACTTTAGGAGTTCCAAAATTTTAGAGGCTGGTGGTACCTTTAAGAGTGGGAAGTGAGTTGTTTATTTAAATGTTACAGTTTTCCTGGTATAGGTTAAGAAGCAAGTTAATATCTATGAGAAAACATAGTGGTATTGGGGAAGATTTGGGGGGTAGTCTACCTTGTTCCTATTAAATTTGTTAGATTTTAAAGCTGACTGACAGAGTGCCAGGCCTTTGAAGGCAGCCTCTCTTGAATTCTAACCCTTGTATTGCTGCTATGATATGCTTTTCCATTGGAGTTTAACACTGGCTTGTTGTTGTTGGGTTTTTATATTTTGCTTTGTTTTATGTTATATTATTTTTATATGTACACCACTCAGAATAGTTCCGTAACACGCATGCACACACACACACAAACACACAGAGTGGTGTCTTGACTTAAGACCATAATCTGTTCCAGAAGATGGACGTAACTCGAAAGGGTCGTAAGTCGAAGCACCTTTTCCAACTGAAATGCATTGGAACACAATTAATCCGTTCCAGCATTTAAAAAAATATTTTAAAAAGCACACAGAAAGCCCTATCGGAAGGTGCTGGGGCTTAAAAAAAAATAATAATAAACAGAAGCCCCAAAGGCGCTGAGGCTTTAAAAAATCACCAAAAAACAAAACAACAAAGCACATAAACATAACTTCCTCGCCCAAACCCACCCTGCAAAAGCCACCCAGAACAGTTTTTAAAAAGCAAAAAGCAGCACATTGCTTTACCAGTCCGAAGCCTCCTCCGATGGCACTCACTCCCCGACTGTGGCCGAGGCGGCAGCGACAGGGCCGGCATGGTGGAGGGCAAAGCCGGGACAAGCGGTCGGAGCACCCCGGCCAGGAGGAGCCTCTCTTTCCAGCGTCTGGAGAGGTAGATCGTGGCAGGGGGATGGGCACAGCCACAACAGTGGCATGGGCCATGCTCAGCCTCCCGTCGCCCCATACCCCATCCTCGTAGGAGCCCCTTGGGTGGCAGCGGCGCTTGTCCGGACACTCAGCTTTCTATGGCACCGCCTCCGCACCAGCCAGCCGGGCCTGGCAGAGCCTATCGCAGTGCTTCGACAGCAAGGCCAGCGGAGAAGGGCAGCCAACCCCGCAGGGCCAAGCACTGAGTATGGCCCTGCCAGGAAGGAGGAGGAGGAGGCCGTGCGGGAGGACCTTTCTTCCGGGAGCCAGGATCAGGGCCCTTCTGCCCCTGTACTGAGGCCGAGGACTGGGATCCCACCTTCAGGTGCAGTAACGCCCCCGCCTCCCCCCACTGCTGCATCCCTTTCCCTAACTGTTGGGGTAAAAGAGCTACAAAGAAGCAGCCCCTTTGCCACCAACGGTTTGAATTTCCCACCTTTATCCCCCTGCCTTTTCCTGATTGTAACTCAAAGCTTCGGTCGTAAGTCAAAGCAGAATTTTGCGGCTGGCGCTGGTCGTACGTAAGTCAAGGCACCACTGTACGTACGTACGTACGTACATACATACATGCATACATACATGCATACATGAGCTGCATCCTTGGAAAGTTTTGGTGGCTGGCCATTAGCAGTCATATCCCTTTCAGCACTTGATTAGTTGGACTCTGAGGTCTTAAGAGCTGAAACATCCGCTCTTCTGTGCCTTGTTCCCCCATCCAAGTTCTGCTTACCAATCGTGTATGTAACCTGTCTGTTTGGGCTTTGCTTTTCAGGTCATCTTCATCAAACAGCTTGTTTCTATTAATTTATTTTCTTGACGTGTGTTGTCACTACAATGCTTCTACTCATGTTGTTTATTTCAGATTATATGCTAGCAAGAAGCATTAGACTACCCATCTCCTCTTTTCTAGCATTCCTGTCCTTGTTTTAAATTCATTATGTTCTTCCTTCGGTTTCTTTCATCATTTAAACTGTTGGCCCAGGCTTGTGTGCTACAACAGTTCAAGGAATGGTTGTGGAAGACTTACAGATAAACAAAAGCTAGTGTGTGGTTACCTCAAGTTTGTGTCAGTTTTTGCTTTCAGTTCTTCTGTTGTCATCATGACAAATTAGTGAAATCATTGTGTCCAGTGTTTTGCAACTGTGTCACGTTGTCCCATAAAATGTATAGATGAATGCATCCAGTGGATGTAAAATTCATAATTCTTTGTGGTGTCTGTGGCTCGCATATATGGGTTCTGTGCTTGTGTATGCAACATTCAGAATGTTCTAGAGCCTTAGAGCCCTCAGGCTCCCTTCCCCCGATCTTGTGTGTGCACGCTCAACCACTCCCTGATGGTCCTCCCTCAGTTCCTTTGCATCCACCACAGTAGTGCAGCTGACAGCGTTTGCTCCTGAGTTTAAAAAAAAAATCCCTGGATTTTTTCCCTCATTTTCCATCCTTATTTTGCATTTTTTAGAAACTCTCTTTATCTGAAAATATCTTTCATTATTAGAAGTAAACATTATTTGGAGAACTGGTCTAGGCAGAGGTTTTGTCTTTCTGTTGCTTCTTTGATGCATTTTGTTTTTACACAATGGGGCTTTGCATCCATTGATTACAGAAACCTAGTTAATTTCATCTGCTAATCTTGAGATGATTAGACCTAGTGATTTCACAGTCGCTTCTGAGGACCATACTCTCTTGCATTGGGTCAAACCACAGTCCTTTCTATTCTTGCAGTGAATTTTCACAGTGATGCAACACTTTCCTATGTGAAAGTTATAGGCAGGGCCTGAGTGTAATAATACCTTGCTGTTCAGGTTCTCTGGCAACTGGTATATAGAGAAATAAAATCTCTATTTGGGCATTATTAATACAGCTTTTTCAGCAGTTAAAGGGAAGTTAGTGCTTAGTACCTAGCCCTGCTCCCATTGTGGTTTTCTCAACACACTCAGTGACCGTTTTTGAAGAGGTGAGTTTTCTGGTTGTTTGTAACTTCTTCATGCACAGAACCTACTGTAGATTTCACAGGGTTCTTGCTCACGTTTGAAGGCAACATGTGATGGGAGCCTCCTCAGATTTGTCACTGCTTAGATGGGGAGAGCAACAACAGAGAGAGAGAGAATCACTCTCTCTAAGTGTATTGGTGATGCTAGATTTCATGGTGGTTGAACAGAGCCAATGCCTCTTGAGACTGGAGGCAATATTAGGGTGTCACGGCTAGTAGCCCATGATAAAGGCAATACCGCTTGTATAGGATTGGATGTAGCTTTTCATTTTACACAGTGTTTATGTAAATACAGACATCTGTCCTTCATTGTTATCTATGCCTTTTGAGCCTTGTATGGAACTTACAAATTCACTCACTTCTTGGTTGGCAGGAATTGGCTCTTCGTAGTCAGCTTCCCAGTATGGAACAAGATGTCTCTCAGAATCCTGTATCTTCTCCTGGCATGTCACAAGAACTAAGAACAATGACCACAAACAGTTCGGATCCTTTTCTTAACAGGTTAGTTGCTGTAGCTACTGGTGGTTTTGTTTCACCAAACATGATGATTTTCGAATTCTGTTTGGTGCATGTAATCGTCTGTTTTGAACATCTGTCTCTTCCAAGAACCACAGCTGTACATGGACTTGCCATTTAAGGAAAGACTCAGTTTAAGGGAAAAAAAGAGGTTGAGGATTAAAAGCTGTCTCCTGCGGGAGGAAGTCAACTGTTCAGACTTGTAGGAAGGGTTTGTCTTCAAAGTTACAACATGTTTGCCCAGGCACAAGTCAATTGATGCATAGCCGTTTAGAATTACTGACTCGGAAAAGCTTTTCAAAAGCTAGCAGTGAAAACTGCTGCGAGGCTCACTTTAAGGAGTTTGTGCTGCCTTCTTGGTTCTATTTTTATCCTTTGTAGGACTGACACGGAAAAGAACAGTGATAAGAGTATACATATCATATTTACAAGGCTGTAGGCTAGCTTTTTTTGGCATTGATTTGTGTGGACTATGGAGTCATGTTTACAGTGCTGTGTGTCTAATTTAGTTCTTAAAACAATATTTTTAACCCTTCATATTATATTCATATAATATTTTCATACATTATATGAATATGTATGAAAATGGGACATCTGTAGAGCCTACCAACTCAGATAATGTGATAAATTTGTCACTTTCAGATCCCCCAATTTTTCAAGCTGAGAGTGTGATATTAAACAGCATAGTTCTATTTGTGTCACACGTGTTTCAGTCACTAACGCATAGAAGAAAATTACACTGGGTTTTTTGGAAGTCACTTGCAAATATTATGTAGTGTTTCTGAATTGGTCCTCCAACCAATGAGTGTTTCAATTGATTTACAATAAAATCATAAACCAGTACACTGGACACATTACAAATAAAATAAAAGTAAAGAAGAAATAAAATTGAAAACGTGGATGTTATATATAGAATGTGCTTTCTCAAATCTGGCCACCCAGTTCTTTCTCTTTGTTTCGTACAAGTCAATTCAGTATAAACAACTTACCATCTGGGCTGATTCCTTGGTTACAGCCATGTGAAACTTCAGCTTTCAGAACTGTGTTAATCATAGATAGATTTTGGCTCTATCTGCACCTTTAAATTTTGTGCCGACACCTTTAGCTTAAATGACAGCCATTGTTGCAGTGCATCAGTAGTCCTGTGCTGAATGTTTTAATTGACCATGGGATGTTGGCAGCCTCAGTAGTGTTGAAGAAGTAACTTAAACACTTGTAGATGTTGGGATGATGGAGCACATAGTAGTGCAAGAATGGAGAGGAAGTTACAAACGTGACACACATTTCTTTGGATATGATCAATAGAGCATCAGATTATAGGAGGATGGGCTTAAATCCAGTTTTAGAGTAGGTCCGTTGAAGGAAAATATTTTGTTAGTCAAAATTAGCATAGGTCCCATTAATTTTAATGAATTTTCCATATTGGGAACTAAAATTGGATTTACTCCTTGTCTTAAGTATTAGCAGGAACAAACATCACTTTCTAATCAACTGTTAATTTCTGGCTGGACAGCTGCCATGTACAGGAATTACAGAATTATATTCCTTGTAGCTGCTTTACATTGTGTTGTACTCATGTTGTGTGAGTACCTCAGAATTACATGCTGTATTATAATTATATGTATCTTGATGTTGTATTACAAGTGATACTGTAAAGTGGAATTGATTCCACTCACAAAACATTTTTGCATTATTACACATTGTTTTCACTGTACATGCACTGCAGAGTGAGTTACACACACATGGCAAGAGCCATCAGTCTCCACATTAAAAATTACACGCATTTCTTATCTAAGAGCAGCCTTACTTCCCTTATTTCCATTGTGTGGCTCATTACCTTTTTCCACTTACAGGTTTAATATGCTTATTCTTAATTCTGTTGGGTCTAACTGTATCTCCAGCATAAAACATGGGAAGGAAATTTCTCTCTGTGTTACATCCATCTTGCTTTGATTGTTCACCCAGTATTCTTGCCTTTTTGCCTTTTTGGCCATAGACTGCCAAAATCCTACACATGCATAACTGAAATACCGTAAGTCATAGATTAGCAAGCTACTAGTTGCATACCTGGTCCTGTGTCTAGTCCCACAACATGCATGTAACCAAGAGTACAATTAGCATCTTATTAATTAGTGATAGTTTGCTTGTGCAACGTAAGTTATTTCATTTACACACACATATATTGCCAATAAGATTCTGATCACATGTATGACATGCAGTTCTATTGCATGTTTTAAGATATCTTTTTTTTTTGCAAAACTGCACATCCATAGTTTCTCTGTTTACATTCGTTTTAAAAATTCATGATGTCATGAAGAGAATCGTTTTGCTTTTTGGATAATAAGTGCTGCAATGTTCTTTCAAATAAATAGTAATAAAGTGATTTTGGTTTTGCTTTGCTTCACTTCACTTTGTCTGCAGTGGAACATACCACTCTAGAGATGAGAGCACAGACAGTGGCCTTAGCATGAGCAGTTACAGTGTCCCCAGAACTCCGGATGATTTCCTCAACAGTGTTGATGAAATGGATACAGGTTTGTTTTGTTGACTTCTTGTTTTAGTGTATGTTCCTCACAGCTTAGCTAATGTAAAGAATGAATTGGATTTTTATGTGTATTCTGGGTAATATCAGAATTAATTCAGATGCTGTCATGCCTCATTCCAAAGAGTAGGATTTTCCCCTCTTTCCAGGGCCCAAGATTGGTTACAATATAAATTTCAAAACAGATGCAGTTGGAAACCATTATAAATTGCAGAATTCATAGTATTCAATAGATCATGACATCTATATAGATTGTCATGTCAATGTTTAAAAAAAAATGATTTAAAATTTATTTTCAACAACAAGCCAAAATACAGCACCAACCACTAAAAGGTTGTTCCCTAACAAACGTTCAGAGGCCAAAGGACTGTCTAAATAAAAATGCCTTTGCCTGCCAGGAGAAGGACAACAGGGTGGAGTGAGCTCCAAGATGCTTGTCTCACGTCATCACCAGACACACCTATGATAGTGGTGGGATGGAAAGAAAGACATCAAGATCTCAGTTCCCAGACAGGATAATATGGGGGGACAAGGCCCTTCAGCTTGCCTGGAACCAAGAATGTCATCGTGGTTTAAAGTTATGGATAGAGATTTTGGTTGAATATTATAAGAAACTTGAATAGCACGTAAGGAGAAATCTATTGACATCTTATTAAGATCGCTGTCATTCTAGATATCTTGCACTGAGAAAGAGAGTGTACTAGGTGGTCTACAACATGGATGAGTATTTTTGTGGTTCTGTGGGCCAGTTCTCTCCCCCCGGATCCCAGTTACCACACATCCACCTTTTACCATTAGTGCATTCCATTAGAAAATGTGGGGAGAATTACCTGAAGGCTATTTCCAATCCTTTCTTTTAAAAAGCTGTTTTTTAGTATAGAACAAGGCATGTGAAGAGTACATACCTTGTTTTAAAGGAGATTCCTGCTTCCAAGAATATGGCTGTCCTGTAATAAAAGAGAAGAGGTAGGTTATTAGAATTATTTAAGTCAATTTCATCTGTTTCTTCTACTGAGAAAAATCTCCAGAGCAGTTTACTAGATTCAGTAGTTCCACAGTACACACAGTAACTGGTGCTCAAGTTTACAATCTAAAAGGTAACAGTGAAGAAGATTAGATAGAGACAAAGGGCAAAAAGAAGAAACTTGGGTACTAGTTCTTAATTGCAAGATGGCATGAACTAATCATCTCCCCCCCCCCCAAGTAGGTAGACTTCCTCTTGTGGGCTGCTAGGAGATCAGAGCTAAGCATCAAGGTGCAGTGGAAGTAGAAATAGCCTGGCATCTAGACAGTTGAATGCAGAATTCAGAAAAACTACTTTTCTAGAATAAAAATACCAGGATTCTCTAACCATCAACCATGGTGGCTGTGGGATTCCAGGAGTTATGCTCCCCCCCCCCCAAAAAATAGCCTCTGTGGAAGGATAGAGGGTCCTATTGGAGAAGATACAAGGTAAGCAAAGCACAACACAATTATTGTATCTAATCAGTTGGGAAGGCCCTGGCATGTAGGAAAATCTTCTTTGCTGGATCCCTTTAATCAAATATAGCTGGCTCAGGCTTAGGATCAGAGTGTGCCTGGTTAGATTGATATAGTCATGCATACCAGCATGGAACTTTATCCCACATGACCAAATGTGTGGCCACCACTGTGATATTCCTGAGTACTTGCTTATTTAAACATTTATAACCTGCCCAATATCGCAGGATCTCAGGGCAGGTTACAAAACTGTATAAAACAATCTTACAGATACTTTAACAGTTTAAAATCACACAACACAAAATGAAAAACATGCAAACATTAAAAACATAGCTCTAAAACGTGTGCGGGCCCCCTTCCTATTTCTGAAGTGGTGGTGGGGAGAGAGTAAATCTGTCAGAATAATTTTGGGATGCATGATAGGAGCAAGTCCCCAAATTTATCCAGATGGTGTGCTATTTAACACTCATGCTCTGCATTCCTGTTTTATCTAGGCGACAGTATCAACCAAAGCAACATGCCTTCTCATCAGAACCGTTTTCCAGACTACCTTGAAGCCATTCCAGGGACTAACGTGGACCTTGGCACACTGGAAGGAGATGCAATGAATATAGAGGGAGAGGAACTGATGCCAAGTCTACAAGAAGCTTTGAGTTCTGATATCCTTAATGACATGGAGTCCGTATTGGCAGCCACCAAGCTAGATAAAGAAAGCTTTCTTACCTGGTTATAGGGGCCTCAGGGAGATGGAGTCTGAAATCTTTGAAGGATCTAAGGAGATAAGACATGTACCTGATGTTGAGAACAAGCCTGTGCGGCAAAGGCTTCTTGGCTTATGATCAGAGAGGAAAACACATAAATGAACAAAATACTCCAGATTCTTTTCATCCAATGTTTTGTTCTTCCTTGTCCAATCGCTGCTGTTACTGCTGACCTCTTTTACAGTTGACTCTGAAGAATTAGACTGTTTGTTTTATTATCCTTTTGAAATTCTTTTTTTTCCTGTTGCAACTACTGTTCAACATGGTAATAGTGGAGAGGGAGATCATGGGTAACTGTGGAGTAAGAAATAGAGAGACCAGCCCTGTTTTGGGATGATATCTGCCATTCCTTTTGTCCTGCTATCCACGTGTATATCCATTGATTACGACAGTATGGATTTTGTTGAGTTTAACTGTGCATGCCACCGCCTGTAGCTGTCTCTGCTTGTTGTTTGCTCTGTTGCCCATGGCAAGTGGCAAAACTGACTTACTAGTCCAGCAAGCCAAAAATGATGTATCTGATGGGAAATAAATCAATACTGATTTGGACGTCAGAAGAACACTAATTCCCTTTTGGGGGGACACAGTCCCCCAGGCATTATCGCTGTTTGATCAATATTGAAATGAGTAAAAGATGCATGTTAGCGATGTCTGTGGGAATATGCCCATCATTAGTTACTTGCTAGTTTTCTCTATCAGCTTGTCCACATTTTATGGCACCATAAGTGAGTCACTACACATACAGACTTTATAAATCTTGATCATTGCCTCTTATTGTAGATTATGTTTCTCTTTTGAAAATTCTAGATCCTTTTTTATTATTATAGTTGTAGGTTAGGAAAATAACTGTTTTTGGTCTTCGGATGATTTTGTTTCATTTTGTATTTTTAAATAGTGAAATCTAAATTTCCTGACTTCACCTAGTCTTATTTAAGTCTGAAATGGTTGACCTTTTTTATACCTTACTGTAACCAGTGAATATCTAGTGTTCTGTGTTTTGCTTGTAACTTTTTAAGAGATAGCTTTGAATGTATTCCCTAGACCAACCTTCCCTCCTCTGGTTCTCTCCAGGTGTTTTAGAGTGCAGCTCCTATAGTCCAGCCACCAGCTAGCTGTAGAATTATGGGGGTTGAACCCATCTATGGGGCACCAGCTTAGGGAAGGCTGCCTTAGACTAAAGGACTGCTGGCTTCTCTTTTCATACATGTGCCAGAATTTGAATCAAAGATTCTTTTAGGATGAATTTTAAAATTTGTAACTCTTACTGTTCCTAGGTACACTTAGTTGAATGTTAGTCCCACTTATTTCAGAAGACCTGCATCCATTTGAGTGTATTTGGGACTACTGCCTAAGGGTGATTAACTAGCTTTTATGCAGAGTTTTAAACACAGCAAGTAGTAGGCTATGAGTCTTCATTGCAGAACAGCTCTTGCCATTGCTGGAAGAGCTTTTTAATTTTGATGAAATTGGTGGCTTGAGATTCTGAAGTCTCTGATGGATGAAAATGGATGCTCTCCTGTACTTAGTTTAGTAATATCATCTGCACTGTTATTTGAGTTTACAGAACTAGTAACACAAACACTAACGTTAAGATACATCAAGAACGCAATGACGGATAGGGCCATGGTGCACATAGAAGATTGTAAAGACATGTGTTAGATGGTGACACGAGCAAGTAGTAGTGTAATTTAGTTGTAGAGATTAGCACTGAAATTGAGTGAGTGAGTACATCTAGATACAGTTACTTTAACAGAAAATGATTGTCCTTGAAGTTGTCTGTAGGAATTGCAATGTTTTCCAAAGAGTATTTTAAAGTGAACAAATGAGCATGAATCAATTATATGGTATAAGCTATGAAGTATTTTTTTAATTCTTTAAGTACATTGGCACCAGAAAGTACATAAAGTGACTGTCAACATTCCCTTTAATGTGTTATTGTTATTTTTCAGGGTTTGAAATGTGGCCATCAGAGAACTTCTCAGGTTGAAATGTGTGTTCATTCTCAATCTGAGCAATGGTTTTAAAAAAATCAGAACTTAATTTGGCCATTCCTATTTGATGGGCAGGAGTTAACACAAGAGGTATAATTTTGCCTGTGCCAATAAGTGATAGCTTAATGGGGGGGGGGTTTCCCCTCCTGGAATGCCACATTAACCCTCAAATCAGCTTACAAGGGGGTGGGGGGCTTATAAGAAAGAGCAGCTTTCCGTTAGTGCAAATAATGTTTCCTTCCCTTTTTTAAAAGTATTTTTAAAAAAGCAAGCTGATAAAAAATATATGTTGACATGAGTAGAGGTAGAAATGAAGAAAAGCAAGATTCAGAGGCTGAAATCATGTTGCTTTATGTAATATGTCTCAACTAGTGTAGGTCCATTGCAAGTACCCAGTGTGGACTAATGGATAGAGCTATGAGCTAGAGCTATGGAGACCAGGATTCAAATCCCATGTTGGCCATGGAAAATCACCGGGGGAGTGAGACTGATGAAATCGCTCCTTAAATGTCTCACTTGCCTTGTTAGGACAGCTATAAATTGGTTCCAACTTGATGGCACATAACTAAGATCCTTTGAATCAGTGGAACCTGGGGAGGAGTTTGCTCATCCAGTTCCCACTGATTCATTCAGCCTCTTCTAGTTGTGACTTACTGTGCTAAGCAACAGGATTTTAGCCAGTGTTCCTGCATGTTGGTTTGCCTATTTATATCCAGAGACTGGAGGACCACTTGTATCTATTTGAGCATTAAGTAGGAACTGCTGAATTCTGATCCTGGGTATTGGTTAGAAATGCACAGAAGTAGTTTCTGTTTGTTTTTCTGGGTCACAGCTTTAAAGTTGGAACTTTTCCCCCTCTCATTGTACATACACTATACAACTTCTGTATTTGAGTAGCACTGCTGGAGAGGTACTGATATAAAACTGGGAATTCTTGAATTTCTTTTAACTCTATTAGTGCAGTACTTAACTCTAGCTATTTTTTAAGCCTCTTGATTTGATGAGACATGTGCCTTAGAGATTACTTGTACTGTTGGCAGGAGAAAATCAAACAAACCAGACCAGTTGGAAGATTTTATTCAAATCAATCACTTGAGAAAGTGGTTTAACTTTTTTTATTGCAATACAAAAAGAAGAAGAAAATAAAAGTGTTATGGGTAGTATTTTGTATTGATTGGTGTATATATTTAAACAGATCACTGTTCTAACTTTATAGCTTCTAGTTTTTTTAATACAGTGTGTTCAGAATGGATTTGAGGCTTATGAATTCATGTGTATGTCTGGCAACATAATTGCTTTGGAATATGTACTATTTCCATAAATCATATGGATCCAAAATTGTACCAATCAGTGTTGGAGCTCAAGCAATGCAAGAGGTGGGACGACAGTTTCAGACTGATTAATGATAATGTAGCTTTTGCACATCTGGAGAATACATCTTATAATGAATTCACTTGCAATCATGAGGGTGTTTTTTTATACAAGAGACAGGTATGTCTGTCTATAACAACACTCTTTTTTTTCTTTAGGGTAAAAATCACAATATTTTAATGTTTCCAAAACTCTGAGACACAATTATCATATATATATATATGAATGTTGTATTTTCTTTAGATGTAAGAGCATGCCTCTGTTAGGTACCATAGTAAATTCTGTTACATTATTTTCCTTTATGTAATACGTTTTTCATTGCTTTTTTTTTGTTTTACATGACATAAATATATACTTTGCGCTTACAATGTCTTGTTTGTTTTTTTTACACTAAACATATCATGCCTGGTAATGAGGAGCTCATATAGCTTAGTGAGTTGGAGCAGCTGGCTGTGAAGCGAAGGGCCAGGCGTCGGTATACTTCCTGTTCTTCTTCAGAGGTGGGCAAGCTGAAGTGACCCAGAGGAGGCTAATGGGGTTATATGCTTTGCCACCTATGCAGCCTTCGGTAAATTGCAAGGCTCCAGAGTGCCGCCCGAAGGAGGGACTGGTAAACTCCTTCTGAGTACTTTATACGTAACAATACTCTGGGAGGGTTGACTCGAGGGCACCTTATGGATTCATCAATACTAATAGGAAAAGCTTAGGAATTTTGCACCTTGAGTCAAACACCTCATTCAGGGTACTGAAAAGTAATGCTTTTTAAAAACAATATTTAGACCTCATAGTTGCCAAAATACAGTATAATTCACCATTGTCCAGAAGCCCATGTACTGTACTCTGAAATATTGCAGTGCTTCTGTATGTGCAGCCTGGCCTGATTTGCTGATAGGTGGAGCTCCACACATGCAAGTTTTTGGAAACGGTCCCCTTTGAATAGATAGCAAAGGCAAGTAGACCTTCCTCTTAACTCAGGTCAGTGCATCAGTGTGCTCTGAAGATTTGGGAGAAATCAGTTTTGCAACCACTGATGGCTGCAGGTGGTTGTTGTTCTTTTTTAAAAATTGAGGTGAGGAAAGAAGAACTTTTGAAAAGGCTATCCTCATATACCACGTATTTCCTTTATCTTCATTATGCTGCCTCGGTGTATTGTTCAGTTTGAGTTTCAGTATTTTCAGAGTTTTGCATAGTAAATCCTTCTGCATTACCCTTCCTGATTTTGTTTGAAATGCAAGCTATGTATATTATTCATTTTGTTTATGACTTCTTGAAGCACAGACTTGTTTTGTTATCTCCTTTGCTAGGAGGATGCTCTTCGGAGATTCTTATCAGCTTGTAACACAGGCTCTGCAGGAGCATTCTGCTGCATTATTCCATGGAAACCGAGAGGCCCTGTGCAGTACTGCTCCCCCTGAACAAATAGATTTGGAAGGAGTCCTAAATTTGGAAGGGATCTTGAGAGTTGAAAGACATTTAGTCCACCCCACACCAGTGCAGGAAACTCATAGTTACAGCACCTCTAAACATATGCTCATCTAACCCCTGTTTAAACCTCCAGTGAAGGAGACTCTGCTAAGATCTGAGGCAATCCATTCTACTGCCAAACAGCTGTTACTGTCAGGTAGAATCTCCTTTCTTGTAACTTGAGTCCACTAGTTCATGTCCTACCCTCTGAAGCAGTAGAAAACAAGTTTGCTCCATTTTCCATGTGAAAGCCATTCTGAAGATAGCTGTTGTGTCACCTCTCATCTTTCTCCTGGCTAAGCAGATCCGGATCTCTCAAGTGTTACCATTACTTTCTTTGACCAGTTGATACAACTGTTAATACAGCCTGAAGACAGCAAAAGTGGATAAATTCAGTGCATTGAATTTGGCCTTCTCACACTTTAGGTGTTCTCTTAGCAGAATTTTTCTTGGAAGCTTGCCTGAGCATCTTTTGAAGCAGTATAAAAACTGTAGCTTGACTTGATGCTTCAGTGACAAGAGTTTCAGCATCTTATTTTCACTGCAGCATCAAATTAGAAGTTATATCTTTTGCTCAAGAAGATACTAGACGCTGTTCCAAGTCCTCCATACAGAGCACATTGCCATAGTCTCTCGAGACTGAAGGATGCCTAGCTAAAACTAAATGTTTATCAGAAAGAAGACTGCCATGGAGGGCTTGGGTTTGGTTTGTGCTGTATTTTGAAGTATTTTCCAATATGTTGTGTAGAGTCATGGTACATGTACAAGCAATAAACACTTGAACGCTTGACTCCAGTGCACACATACTTGCACCAAAATGCTGTTCTTCATGTTTTCAAAACAGTTATCCAGCAATTATACAACTACAGGTTGTTATTTGTACTGTATTAATTTCAAGGTTTGAGTCCAAGCAAAAGGGACCTCAGTGATTTTATGAAATTAGCTCGTATAGGGAAGATTCAATTTTCATTAAGCGGGATTGTATCATTACATAAAATATAGCTAAACATGAGTTGTATCTATGACACTTGGAGGAGGAGAAGCCTCTTTTATCTTGACAATCAAAAAGAACTGTCCTATGCGCACATCATGGAAATAAAGTTGTAACAGACTAACTGAGCGATGGATATACAGTGTGATCTCTTTCAAATTTGCTTCTTTCATTCTTTTGGCCTGTCACTCACCTAATGCCACTCAAGTTCTTCTGCACTGTGCATTTGTACTTCTATGCATTTGTATCTTAATATGTCTGTCTCCATAGAGTCTGTGCTTTTTATTTTAAAAAAATGGACAGGAAACTTCAAAAGAATGTTGGCCATGGGTGCCCATGATTTTTGGTGCCTAGTCCTGAACTGCAGTAAATAGTGTGAGGCCATATGACTAATGAGGAAAAGGAATTAAATAATAATTGTTTGGGCGTATTCACACCATTTGCCCACTTAACTTGGCATCTCATTGCCCTGTTTCCCTGAAAATAAGATGGGGTCTTATATTAATTTTTGCTCCGAAAAACGGATTAGATTAGGGCTTATATTCAGGAGATGTTTTGTTTTTTTCATGTGCAACAATCTACTGTACGTCTATTAAAATGCTGGTTGCTGCACAGTGGTACATGTACAACAATCTACGTCTATTCAAATGCTGGTTGCTGCACAGTGGTAGAGGGTTGGGTTTCACTTAACGGGGGCTTATTTTTGGGGTAGGGTTTATATTACGAGCATCCTGAAAAATCATACTAGGGCTTATTTTTCAGGGTAGGTCTTACTTTAGGGGAAACAGGATGACTACAAGGTATATGTTTATAAAAAAAGATTTGTGTTTTGACATATGGGATCTACTTGATGGCAATTGTTTGGTTTTATTTCTTTTATTTTCTTGAAGGTAAGAGTTAGGGTGGCCTATGACATGTCAAGGAACCAGATTCAGTAGCCTCCCTCTAATGTATTTTCAAGTGCATTGCACAAGTTAAAGAAATTAATGTGTGGGTGGCTTGGCTTGCCTTCTTATGAGGGCTATATTCACCTCTGTTGTCTTGCTCTTTGCAACTTGTTATACCAGAAAAACAAGGCATTAAGAAAATGTGAGACACATAGGCTTCTCAGATGTTTTAAAATTTGGTTTTATGTAGGGATTAATTCAAAATATACACCCTTTATGCAATACATGCCCTCCCAATAACCTTGAGGAGGCAGTTCCCTTGGTGCTGTTGTTTCTAGCTGATTGCTGAGAAGTGGAAAGAAATATAGGCCAAATCAGGATTGTATAAATCACATAATGAACCTTAAAAAGCGGTGTGTGAAGAGTTGTTTCCAGTCTGTGCCCCCCCTTCAAATGTGCCAGAGCCCCTCAGCAGGGCCATATGGACCCTGTTGAGAATGGCTGCTGTAACCTAGCCTCTGACTTCTATACACCTATAGAAGTTCCCAACTTTGGGTCCTCCACATATTCTTGGCTTAACGATTCACAGAAATCCTGGCCAGCAAAGTCAGTGGCGAAGGCTTTTGGGAGTTTTAGTTCTGGCAACCCAAGATTGGGAAACACTGGTCTAAAATGATTCAAGTTTAATCCCACATGAGACAGATGTAGCTGCATAAGTGAGGTCAGGATGCTAAGGGGAAAAATATTATTTTCTAGTCTGTGCTGTGATGGTGTACAACGTCTACTTTTCTACCATGATATACTGCCGATTAGTGGCTCTTCCATGACCTTAAGCTTGTCTTCTGTTCTAAACCTTGAGTATCCTGATGGTCCCTATATGGGCGTTCTAGGACTTTTAGCAAGGCCTCGGGCAAGGAATTGCAGAACTACATATTTTCTCCATGAAGGACATCCAGCCCTTGCTTTTCTTTTAATACGCTTGCTCAAGTTGATCTGATTGAACAGTTGGCTGCTTGGGTTCAACTAGCATGAGGCTCCCAGTCTGTGGTTGGCTGGGAAAGATAAATGGTTAAAAAGCACCAGGTTTTTGCTGTAGCAGGTTCTTGTTGCCATGTCCCTGTTTTGATCTGCCCTGTTTCTACAGAATGAAGTTTCTGATACAGAAACCTATTGTAGGTCTCCTCAGCCATTGGACTAGTAGCAGTCTGTACACCATCATAGGAGCTAGTGTTGTAAATCTACATAGTGATCATTGTGAAATAGCTGAACTGGCTTATGTGAATATACTATAGATGCGCAATACCTCTTTTAAAACACCTGGTTGATATCTTTGAGTGTAGCTACACTATGCAGTTGTAGCATTTTGATACCATGCTGTCATAATTCCTTCTTGCATTCCTCTGAATCATAACATTAGAGGTCTGTGGCACAAAGTTTTAAGTATTCCAAACTACAAACAGCAGGGTTCTGTAAGGCGCAGCCATGAGAGTTACTGAAGTGGAATCTAACTGCTTTAATTATATTGTGTACAACTCAGTGTGCCTGTTTACCTTCCTTCCTTTGAAGAAATAAAAACAAGATCGTTTGTGTTTAGATTTTGTCTGTCGGAACCGCTTATCATTAGAAAAGGCAGACTGAAAATGGGGGCACAATAAGTATTAGAGTTACATACCCAAATTGCTTTATATATACAGTGGTGCCCCGCATAGCAACATTAATCCGTTCCGGATTAATCATCGCTATGCAGAAACATCGCTAAACGGAACGGAAAAAGCCATAGGAACGCATTAAACTTTGTTTAATGTGTTCCTATGGCTCCCAAACTCACCGTTGAGCGAAGTTCCTCCATAGTGCCGCCATTTTCGCGCCCTCGGTAAGCGAGGGCAGGGCACGAAAACACTTGCAGCGGCCATTTTAGGCACCTGGCAGCCATTTTGGAACCGCCGATCAGCTGTTTAAAAAAACATTGCGATGCGATGTTTTACCCCTTAAAACATCGCAATGTGATCGCATTAGCAAT